ACGAGCGGCGGCCATGTTGGCCGGCAGCACGTTCTGCGCTTGCAGGCCGCCATCTTTGAGTATATATTGGTATACACCAAGATGGCGACGCCTGAACATATGAGCCCAGCCATCTTGGTGTATACCAAGATACACTCAAAGATGGCGGCGCGCAAGCACAGAATGCGCAGGTGGCGGACATGGCAGCTGCTTGTTCTGCATTCTCAGTGTGCGGTTTTGGATTCGGGGGCCTCCAAATACGAAACAGCAGAAAAATTCATTTTCTTTGATAAAATAAATGAAAACATTTTACAACTTCATTTGTTTCGTCAGAAAACAAATATTTTTTACAGTGCACATGTCTAGTAGATATAAAGACACATGGATAATGCTCACTGTTTTGCATGAAATACAACAGAACTTTCACTTAGTCATGTAGTGCCCAATTCCTGATGCATCTTCAGAGGATACATGGCTTCACAGGCATTTTACATTTTATTGCAGTAAGAAATTGGGGCCCTGGGCTTTCCTGGCAGTGTCATCCCCCAAATAAATCTTTCACACAAAGTAATGCTCTAAAACTGCTAATTAAAATGGTGCATGTATACTAGTGTACTGCTGGGCTGGCAGCCCCTTTAAGCCACCTGGCAGAATATTCTTTTGAGCCACAGATCATTGCTCCTCCTGCTGTGATGGAAACAACAGAGAGAGAAGCGCAGGAAGATGACTTGCATTGTCTAATGCCACTGCCTTGGACTACGCCTCTTAACAATGTGGCAGGAGAATCCTTATTGACCATGGCGGCCGAAGGGTAGTCCTTCCTATTGCACCAAGGGAGCACAAACACAGTTGGGGAGAGTGTGGAAAGCCTATGACCTCTGAGCTCAGCAGCCTGCAGAGCTTAAGCCAAGCTGGGTAACATTCTGGAAAAGCCACAAGATACTAATTGGTGCATGCACTATTTTAACTTGCATTTTCAGTGTTTGAAAAAAATACAAAAACTTTTAGTTCTGTTTTAAGGGGAGGAATTGGAAGTAGTGTGACCCAATAGCGGTGGCACATTTAGCATACCAATTTTACTTAGAGGCTGTCCAGTCCATTGTGGTGCTATAAAGTCTGTCTGCTAATGGTTACTTATGAAAGTCACAGATCAGTGTGACTGTTCGGTAACTACTAAATGTTAGGGAAAATATGTTTTGGCTGCCACTGTTTCAGAATCTTAGTGTCTTGCCTCTGTCTTTACCGGAAGGCATATGATGTAGAAACTTGCTTATAGTTAAATCTTGCTGACAGCTACTGAAATGTGAGGACAATCTTTACAGGTAAAGCTATAAAAACAACTTGGGCTGTGGTCTTCCGCAGAGGTTTCACTACTAGGATTCAACATATGCAGGGCAGAGAGAGATATACCTCAGCCCTGCCACCAACCTAGCCATGCCACTTCCAGATCCGATCATATATGTCATTATGATGATGAGACAATGCTATATCTAGCAAGCTAAATACCTTTGGAATCTGAAAATTTGGGGCAGCTGAGAGGTTTTTATCAGATCTCTGAGAGGAGTAAGCGTGTTTGAGTGAGAATGTGGTTTCCACAAGTTTCCTACTAAAGTAATGACATCATTATAAGTAGTACATGATTCTACTATCACACTTACCACTTGGATGCCATTGATTGTTTACGCCAGGCGCACTGGCACATTGTGCCTATAGATATGTACATTCCCAGAGAGTGTTGATAAAAAAGGGTCATGTGCTTTTTTTCCGTTAGGGTGTGTTGGCAACTAAAGTAGAAATGTTAATGTGTGCCATAATGTTCATTAACATACTGCAATGAAACCACTGATATGAGTTATGCAGACTTCCTTCACTGCTATCAATAGTGGTCACCCCCTAGGTACTAGTCAACTTAAAAAAGAAGAAAAGCCAATTATTTTTTTGGCTATACATCTCTTTTGGGTCACAGGAGTACATTAGTAAATGTACTCCTTTCATCCAAGGTCAGCTAATAGCTAGTGCCTGCTATTAGCTGACAGGGCAAAGCAACACCGCAAGAAGGATTCTGACAATACAGCCCTAGGCTAGGGAGGGTAGTGACTGACAATCACTACCTCTGCTGACTGATCAGCAGTCACGTGATTGATCAGTCCTCAGTCTTGGACCCAGTTTGGGACACCTGCAGCATCCCATACCAGCTCTAAGGATAGGGGACAGTATATAATACCTCTCCTTTAATGGCCTTATTTCTATTTTAGCCTATGCAAACAATACCAATATTCGAATGATCCTTGGAAGTATGTAGAAATGGCTTGAAGTAAACCTGTTATAAGAAAGAAATATAAAGGCTGCCATCACTAACTTTCTTATCTTATCTGCATATTCTGTTTGGATCTATGGCTCAAACCACCCAAGCGAGTCGATCATGCGCAATGTACAATTTCAGTTCATGCACAATGCACATGGGCATTTGCAAAGATTTTTCAAATAAAATCTTCAAAGAAAAAATACCTGCACATATTCCTGAACTTTCTTGAAGCTCCTCTGGGAATATTGCATACAGATCTTCACCTAAATACAGTGATGAAGCTTACTAAAAGTCTGCTGAAGACTCCTAAAAGCTGTGTTTAACATTACAGCATGCATTGTTTTTATTATCTCGGTTGAATGCTCCTATCCTGAGCTGAAAGGTATTTAAAGGTATTGTCTATATGAGTAATAGGTGTGGAAGCACTCATGTTGTGCCAAATGTTTTGCCCAGTACAATGACATGAACAAGGCATATGGGAAGTTCTCAACTCCATTCCAATACAATCACTTTGATAGTTCCACTTTCAGTATGTATGAAGCTTAAGGGCTTCAGGAAAGCTGCTTGAGCACATTAAAGTGACACTAAACTCAGAAGTTTAATCTTGAAAATGCATTCAAGTACCTTAACTATTAATATAAATGTAGTTTATTTGTGTATCATTCGGCTTTAGATCCTCAAATAATATCTAAATTGGTGCTGACACTGTTCTTCCTTCTGGAGGGTGGCTACTTTTGTTCCCCATGGCCATAGGCGTGTGCACGGGGTGTGCCAGGTGTGCTGGGTCTGTCTGTGACAGCCCTCACCCTGACCACGCAGCAACCAGTGGGACAAGGTTTGGGGACATGCCTGCCTACGAAATTACCTCCCACTCACCCCAAGCACTAGGGGCAGCCCTCACCCTGACCACACAGCAACCAGTGGGACAAGGTTTGGGGACATGCCTGCCTACGAAGCTAGCTAAGGAGACATGCCTGGGGAGCTACTTCCTCCTTCCCACTCAGCCCTCCAGATGGTCAGCAAAGTACAATGTGAGTAGACATTCTCTCTCTCCCCCACCCCCCTCTCTCTCCCCTCTCCCCCTGGGATTTGTAGTAGGGATGCACCAATATCGTTATACTGGGCACTGAAAATTGAAAATGCCCTGATCTTAAACACTGATACCGGCACATTACATTTTTAAACTTAAGCGGCTGCCTGAGGTCTCGTGCTTGCTGTGAACCACAGCGCCTGTTTACAGCACCGGCCACATATTTACTCCTCCTTACTGGAGAACAACGCCGGCCACGAGACCCTGAGACCCCACACATCACTCCTAAGACCCTGCACAGCCCACTTGAGACACTGCACAGCCCACCTGAGACCCCACACAGCCTCCTAAGACTCCACACAGCCCACTTGTGACCCACCACAGCCCTCCTGAGACCCCGCACAGCCCTCCTGAGACCCTCCACAGCCCACTTGAGACACTGCACAGCCCACCTGAGACCCCGCACAGCCTCCTAAGACTCCACACAGCCCACTTGTGACCCAACACAGCCCTCTTGAGACCCTCCACAGCCCACCTGAGACCCTACAGAGCCCACCTGAGACCCTCCACAGTCCTCCTGAGACCCCGCTCAGTGCACCTGAGACCCCGCACAGCCCTCCTGAGAATATATATATATATATACTTGTGTGTGTTTGTACTTATGTGTGCACACCCTAATGCAAAAGGGTATGCACGCCTATGTCCATTGTCCCTGTGTGTGTTGTAAAGTAGCCACCGCTGCAAGCTCACTCCCGTGATGAACTACAATCACAATTCAAATTAGTAAACTAAACATGAGATTATAGTCCATCATGGGAGTGAGCTTGGAGCGCTGGCTACTTTACAGCACACACAGGGACCATGGGGAACAAAAGTAGCCACCTTGCAGAAGGAAGGACAGTGTCAACATGAATTCAGAGACGATTTGAGGATCTGCAGCCAAGTACACAAATAAGATGAATTTTTGTTAATAGTTCAGGTACTTGAATGTATTTTTAAGATTTAACTTCTGAGTTTAGTGTCACTTTAAATAATTTTGAAATGCTTGCTGATTCTCTTTAGACTAGCATTTACAAGGAATATTAAATCGTGCCTGCTTCTCATATAAACACAGGTTTGTCATTGCTTATGTCCTTCTGAAAGTACTAGTTCACTGACTGTTATAATGAGTCTATGTCTTCCATACTTTCATTTACTCACAAGAATGCAGCCTGTAAAATTAGAACTCGTATTCGCCATACCTTTTCTGGGTCAGTGACAGAAGGTACTGAAGACAGATAATGAGAATAACAGGCAAGCATCTAGCATTTTACAAGGACATCAACATTCCTAGTATTGCTCTCAGAACAGGTGTCTTTAAAAATAGCTTTTGTATTCCTAAGAAATCTTTTAGCCCTACATTATTCTTTGAAAGATGCATTAATGTTTTTGTGTTTCCCTGGTACCCAAACCATTATGGTGATTAGTTGGTGAATGGTAAATTCTATTCTTATATAAGCTTATCTATGTAAAAACTGAACATAACTCCATCTCAGAGGACTGAAAATAATGGAAAAAAAATCTATCTATACTGTCTAGAAGAAATTTTCTTTGTAGAACTGAAAAAAAAAAACTGCAATTTGTTGCTATGGCCTCTACCTTCACCTATTTTGTGTTGTGTGTTAAGTGTTGATTTCCCTTTGAAGTGAAACGTATTCATGGTAATGCTGATAAAAATGACAGATCAAATTTCCATTCAGAGTACAATGAAGTAGTCATGTATCACTGCACAGATGACTTCAGCTTCCACAGTGTTAGCTTGGTATATGAGAAAACATTTTATCATTCACCATAACACAACTTGAAAGTGTTCCAAAATGTTCAATGTGAAGCCCTTTCAGATTAATTGTATTGAATATCTTAATACAGAGAACAGGATCCTCTCAGTATGTACAACATACAGAAATGGACACCATCACCTAGCTGGCAGTTCACATACACGTCATGACTGCCAAACTTTAATCCCACAAACAGGAAGTGCAACTGAAAATGTAAATATATAAAGTGAGCCTGTAGTCTGTCAGTGTCTCTGGCAAGCAGAGGATAGATGTTGTCAGAAGCAGATCCGCTCTGACTGCACACATCAGCATTTGTCGGTGAGTTATACAAGTTTATATATCTGTCCAAGAGTACTGCGGTCCCTCCCATCCTAACTTTCAGAGATACACAGATATGGCCCACATTGTATAGTCGTGTTCAGATAACCAAATGGCTGCAATGTCATTATGAATGCAATGTTAAGAACATGATCATTTTATCAGGTTCACAGACCAAGCTCCAACTTCCTCAGGCTCTTTGGACCCACAGCAACTTCCATACTGGTTTAAACGGCTGTAGTCCTGCCCAGCAGGGGGATTGGGAATATCAGTTGGCAGCCCCTTGGCAATCCAGGCAGTACCCCACTTCCAATTTCAGAACCTGACCAAGATGGCCGTCTTCGGCTTGGTGCTTCTTGAGGTGGATTGGGTGGAATCTGTGAGCTTAGGGCGCCAGGAAGTGGTTGAGTATTTTGTTGTCCTGTGAGATGTTGTTTATGGCTCAGGGGTTGCTCTGGTTTCACAAGCTCATCCTGAACAGACAGAAAAGGACTGAGAATTTTCCTGTAGATGCCTCGAGTATCAGTAAGGACCTCACTGTACGGTGGTGGGGGTTCAGCCATGAGTAGAGCCTCTTCATAGCAAGGTGGCTGAGACAAGTCTGGTTCTGCAGGTACAATGCAAAAACAATATAAATGTCATCTTCCTTGGTATTACAATTCAATACTTAAAGTGACATTAAACCCTCAGATTTTTTAACATAAAACAATACTGTAATGTGTGCCTTACTGTAATCCATGGTAGTTTCCCTTCTCTTTGCTGCTCTTCCTTTTAAATCCTCATATCTTCTCATGCTTGGGGAGAACTTCCCTTTGCAGCTGAGTGCACATCGTTGTTATTATCGCTGCCCCTTCTTGCAAAGCCATAATGAGCACTCTTGCCTAGTTGTATTTCTCAATTATTTCTAGATAGTAAAGAATCAATAGATGGTATGTGGCATCCCTAGTTGACTTTAAATTAGACATAGCAGATTGGCCAAATGGTAAATTTTGATCGATCCCAACCTGCCAGCAATTTAAAAAAATGTATGTCATTGGGCAGATATGCCATTTATAGTTTCCACCTTCTATTGCAGCATTTCTGCTTGAGTTGCTGGAGCCTATAATTCTGCAAGTGTGTTGAGGATCACAGAGTGGCAGGCCACAAGCATCTGTTTCCAAGCAGGAATCAAAGCTCCTGACATGTACACAAAATGCTTCTTGACATTAGCTCTAAATATTTAAAACAAAACTTAAGTCAGAATAGTTTTTGAGGATTTGCTTCTTCTCCTCCCATCCCCAATGGTCTTTCACCACAAAAATGCACAGCTTGGCCAAAGAAAAAAATCACTAGCTGTATTTAGCTAAGCAAATTGGTAAGACCCTTCCATTGGATAAGTGTTATGATCTGGGGTTGCTTCAGTTGGTCAAGTCTAGGTTCAGCAACCTTATGTTCCCAAAAAAGAGGTCAGCTGCCTACCTGAATATACTGAATTAACCTGATAGCACGGGCATAGATGCATTGCCAGGATTCAAATTGTGAAAGGGTGTTTCAGGGAGTATGAGACATTATTTTCACATGGATTGGCTACCACAGAGTCCAGACCTTAGCCCCATTTAGAATTTTTGGTGTGTGTTGGAGAAGACTTCACGCAGTGTTCTGACTCTCCCATCATTGCTACAAGATCATGGTGAACAATTAATGCAACTGGACGGAAATAAACGTTGTGAGTAGGAATGCACTGAAATGATTTTTCTGACTGAAACTGAAATAAAAAAAATTTGTCAGACCGAAGCCGAAAAGGACTTTTTTTTTCAACCTTTTTAAAATGTTTAAAATGTTTTTAAATTATTTTATTTTTATTTTTTTACTTTAATGTTGTGTGCTTTGGGGAAATTGATATTTCCCTTTTAAAACAGAAAAAGAGATTGAGGATGCAGAATCCTAAATCTCTTTTCTGCAGCCCCTGTTATGAATGAACAGGAAACCTCTATACTGAGTACTCCTGTCCATTCATAAACTGTTGAGATAGTATCAGTTACTATGCACACAATCATAAATGAACAGGAAGTGATGTATAGCACTTCCTGTTCATTCATAACTGTGGACACAGTAAGCATTCTATGTCCTCAGTTATTTACAAACACTCAGTGCTTGTAAGTCGCTCTCCATCCTGACTCACCTGTCACAGGAGGCTGAGCAGGGCAGTGCGGGAGAAGAGCTCAGCCTCCTGTGACAGCTGACAGCTCTCCTCCCCGTACCACCCCGCTCGGCCTTCTGACAGTTTCTCTCTTTCCTGTTTACCCGCTTTTGTATGTCATTCGACATTTTGCCCATAGTACCATTTTCGGACGAAGTTTTGGTGCATTGTTAGTTGTGACATTGCATAAGCTAATCCAAATGGTTTCACGGCAAATACACACTATAATTAAAGCTAAAGGCAGTCCAACAACATATTAGAGTATGTAACTTTTTTGGGGGCCAGGAAGTGTGTTTGCTATATTAGTAATGTATATACTACTTTTTTGGTTCTCTCATGTGACAGATGAAGCAGTCAAACAGGAGAGAAATATCCTAGCAAGTGAAGCATCTGTTAGGAGGTTTCTGTCTCAGATCTGTTGGAGAGAATGCAAATCCTTCACACACCTCTAGTAGGTGAAGGATCATTCAGAAAGAAGCTATAGTATAACGTACTGTAGGTACAGTGAGCACTTCAGTCCAAGATCCTTTTCCCCTATAGGGCCAGAAAATGTATTTTCCCTTTGAGAGATGTTTGGGTGTGGCACCGTTTAATAATTTGCACTTGAAAACTTCTTGACTTACTATACCTCTTTTTAGAGAAAAATGACATAAAAGCAGAACTCTACCAAAAATAATAAGATGAAAATTAATAGACCATTAAAAGGTACAGCTTTTGCTGCACTATTCATTTGCAATCTGGAGCTGCCCTCTACAACAGTGTTTCGCAAACCTTTTTTCAGCCACAGCACCCTTAAAATTATGCACACTCTTTAGGAACCCCAGTCTAAAATGTAAAAACAGTAAATGTAAAAAAAAACATGTGGTTCCTCCAAAATCCATACCAAGCCCTAATACAAGATACGGGTCTGGTATGGATGAGGGACTTTCAAGCAAAAACACAAAAAAAGTGGGTTTCCCCCCTTCACATCAGAGTCCTCTTAACATCACAGCCCCCCTTTTACATCAGAAGCCCTCCCTTCACATCAGAGTCCCCCTCTTTCACACCAGGAGCCTTCCTCACATCAGAGGCATTACTTTTTGTAAAAACTTTGAGGCACCCCTGAGGAAGCCAGAAGGCACACCAATGGATCCCAACTGTCTAAATCCTCACTCCCGATTGATTTCACATCAAACCACTGCCACAGTCTAGAGCTGTGTAGCTGTGTACGTCTCATTGGCAATTTACTTGTTTTCTTTTTCTTTTTGTTTAGAAATGTATCTTTTTGTTGTTGATGTGGCTATTTACTTTTACCTGTACTTTTTGATTTCTGTATGGTTATTTACTTGCTCTTTTGAGGCCTATATGGCCATTTATATTTATTTGTATGGGTGAAACTATGCCCATTGCCTAGAACTAAGCCTAGAGCCCATTGCCTAGACTTCACGACATTTATTACTCATACAAATGAGATAGCAGTCACACAAGAGGAATGATTGGTGAACTTGAAGATGTAACACCTTGCTGGATGTTTTACCAAATGTACATATAAGAAAAGCTTTACAATGTAGCAGTTCTTACTTTATTTCAGTCACTCTTTTGCTTATTTTGAAATCACAGTAATTTTATATATGGAGACAAGTAACAAATTGTACCATTATTTCTATACGCTGCCTGAAAAATACATTTGGGTTAAAAGATATCTGTAATCTGAAATACAATTACAGTCAATTGAGAAAGCTAGTCTGATGACCAAAAAGATGGCAGCGCCCATACGGGCATGTGACATCACCCGACTCTGCATGCGTCCGAGATGATGGCATGCATACACATAATGTGCCAGTGGCAGATACAGCTGCCAAGTGGTCTTTTCTTTACATGTGCAGTTTCGCATTTGGAGGTTTGTTGCCTCCAAATCCGAAATAGCATAGAAATTCATTTTGTTTGATGAAACAAATGAAAATGTTTTTAGTTTTTGTTCCATTTAGTCAGAAACAAATTTTTATAATTTGCACATGTCTATTATCTTATTACCTCTCACTACCTCTTTATGTGCATCCATCGACATTACACAAGTGTAGGAAATATACCCTCTATTTATCACCATATGTTTTTCTTATCTGATGGGATCTAGAGTGTCTTCTAGTAGATATTCATATAGTCCTCTCTGGGGAATTTATCAGACTATTTCCTCCTTTCTTATTAATTTAATAATAAGCACTTCCATTTAACTCTGTTTATATCTGCATGTCATAAAATTCTTATTATTCTGTCTGGAATTTGCATATGTGATAAAAAAGAGTGTATCAGATACATTATTTTGCACTTAAGGTTGTTAAGATATTATCAACTCCCCATCTTTTTCTAAGAAAGATCTCATTCTTGAGGAACTATAATAGGCATACTCCCAGAATACTTGGTATATCATCCCTGGCTCAAATCTGGGTTTTCTGATAGCAGTAAATAATAGGTATGTTTAAATTCTGCTCCCACACTTTCTTGTTCAGTATTTTCATTATGGTATCTTAGATTTGGGGGACTGTTAAATTAACTTTCTCTATAATATGGGGAGCAATCCCTTCACTGCTCAGGTCCTGAATCTGTGCATTGGACTACTACAAGTTTTTGGTATGGCATGGTTAATGTAAACAAGAATGGGCAGATATTGAACTGTCCACCATTCTTGGTCTTTGACCTTTCTGAAGCTGGCCATACACATCATGTTCACATTCATGGTTAGAATTTTGTTGGTTCGGATAAGAAAGTAGAACATTTTTCCATCCTGCTTCTTCAATTTTTCTTGTTACTATGATAGAAAATGAATGTCAAGTAGACCCCATTAACCACTGGAAATTAGAAAGAACATTCCAAAATGAAAAATGAAAATGATACTGGTGCCATCTTTAGTCTACCCTTAAGTATCTATAATGAATTATATGCAATACCAGGCTCCATTTGTAGGTAAAATCTGAGTTTGCAGTTCATATTTCTGGGAGTCATTGTTCAACAACAAAGATTTCCAGCAGAGTTACCAGGAAGGCTATCTGGCAGGAGTACTTTTATATACTAAGCAGTATACTTGGCAGCCCCCCAAACATCCTCAGTACAGGTTTCCTTTAATGAATACCAGTAATACTATAATAGAAGTTATATTTAAATAAAGGATATGGAAAAACCTTTGTAAGTATGTATGCAAATGTCTATTGCTATACATAAAATAATGTATTTGAGGTTAGCCTCCATATTATTTAGAAGATGATTATTGCTCTATTTTTCAATGTAATATTGAAAAGTAAAGCTTTTACGTTAAAAACATAGTTCTAGGATATCAAATTTACTTCCTGTACTGTATCTAATGTTCTTATAATTGTAACAGTTTGGCACTTTTATTTATAGTTATCAGTTTTTTTGATAAATATAATTTTCTAATAATTTTTATTGAAAGGAGA